CAAAAAAAAAAAAGGAGAACCTTACCCCAAACAACCCAAAACCAAGGGCCGATCAATAGATTTACGTTGTTCTTCAAGTTGAAGTGCACTCTCAAATGCCTCTGGCCAAGGAAATCAATAACAAAAAAGAGTGAGTATCATCATCATCTTCGAACCATGTAATTCTTTATGAAAATAATGCAAAAAATATAAAAAAGAAAAGCAGGGAGAGAACTTCACTTACTATCATGTAGGTTCAAGTGCACCAAACTTTCAACTTGGAGCATCCAATATTTTCTGTGTCCTTTATAATCCACAGATTCAAGCAACTTCAACGCATCTTCAGGTTGATGTTTTTCCTCAAGCAGGGACAAAGCTTCCGAGATGATCATATCTGTATCACTTCATTCAGTTTAAAAAAACATGGGAAATGGTTCAGAATTAGCTAGCCCATCTTAGCATTTATTTTGTTTAACAGTAACGCACCCAACTAAGAAAGCAGTTAAGCAATAAACTAATGAAGGCAGGCCAATAACACCTAGAATATGCTCAGAAAATCAGTATGATTTTGAGCATGAAATATATAACACAAGCAATGAACTACAATCAATAGATTAGATAAAAGCATAATGTGGCTAAACAAAGAACAAGTATAAAACACTAACCGGTTTGAATTAGAGCCTGAGGCTACATCTGACTTTTTTTGCTTCTTTTTCTTTCCAGCCCCACTTTTTTTACTTCGCCCTTTTGTCATTTGAAGTTTAGCTGTAAAAAAATTATATTAGTTCCATACAAAACATAACTATAAAGGCCATAATAAAGATCAATTTAACGACACACTTACATGACATAAACATTATACAAGGAAAATTTAAGCTAGAGAAAAAAGGAAAAAAATCTATATAACCTCAAACAAATACATAATGAAAGCAAAACGTATTTCTCCCATCAACAAAGCATGGAACAAAACTAAGAAACAGTCATGACAAGCAAGAAAAGCTCATACAATAAAAAACAAAAATAAAGATTAAACTAAAGCTTAAGAACTCAACCAAGGTCTATGTTGTAGTTTTCTAAGACACCGATTTATCACTGCATAAGTTTCAAAGTAACTTAGTCAAAGAAACAGGAATGTCTTCATCTTATCGATAATTAATCCTCATGTAGTTTACAAGTGACGTCGGTGAAGACCAACAAAAAGACATAACAAGCAAAAGCAAGATGCATGACATGTGTGTATCATTACATAGTATAAAAGAGGCTTATGAGTCATCCTTGATTTTCATTTACCATAAAAGAAGATTTAACCACATAATGCAGAGGATCCATGCTATTGGGAAGCTATACACTTATCAACACAGCCACTCAAAAGAGGTGTTCCTCATTGAATAAATCAGCAAGTATTTAAAGTTTTGCAATTCAATTTCAACATGAACCTACAGGAGCTAATTTTGAAGACCACTTCTCAAAACCTACAGGATATATATAACAACAACAAAAGGCAGATTTTCTTAACCCCTTCTTTGGGAGGACAACCTCAAGGCAGCCTAATCGGATCACAAATACAAAACTAACACACAAAACACACTCACACGCTCCCAACAGGAGAATTCAGCTCCCAATAGGAGAATTTAGCTCCCAACAGAAGAATTCAGCTCCCAACAGGATAATAAACACGACACACAACGAACTAAACACCAAACAAAAACACACAAACCACTAAACACAACATAAACAAACGACAAAAAACCAAAATAAACGACACATAAAGCCCTTCCCCGGCTGAAATACCCGAGCCCTGCACAAGGCACCGGCAGAACAAAGGCCAACCACCCCACAGCAAGATCCACAGTCAGGACTCCACTCCCGGAACTGCCAATAGGCCTAGCTGAAGCCGAATCCCGCACCCCGAACCACCACGAGATAGTAGCCGACCCACAGCCGGACAACCGAAGCCAGACCTCACCCCACACACCTCAACCCCGGACCCTGCCAACACCACTGGACTAGGCCCGGAGGTGTCGGTCTTCCCCAACTTACACACCAGAACATCGGAGAAACGGGGAGATCGAGCCACGCTCATCAATCCCAGACAACTCACCATCGATGACGGAAAGCAGCCAGAACCCCTCCCCACCCCAATCACACACCACCTACCAGCACATCCACTCCACCGGAGAGGCCGGAAGACCCCACCATGAACGGCATCTGGAGGTCTGCAAACACCGTCCGCCAAACATCCGCTCGTCATCAATGGAGCAAAAAGTGAGGAGCCAGCCCAAAATCGAGGCAAAGGAGGGCAACTAAGGGTCATCCGCCGGCAGGAACGCCGGCTATTCGCCGGGGAAGGCGAGGAGAAGCACAGAGACGGCGAGCAGAGACGGCGAGGGAGTCGGCAAATTAGGGTATAGAGAGAGAAAGGGGAAAAGTTGATGCAATGAAAAAATCCACAAAAAAACAAAAAAAAAAAAAAATATCTATTCTCCTGTCTTAAACTGAGTTTCAGATGCTCATTACAAAGGGTGTGTTTGTTTATAAACAATCACAATTCATATTCAATTCTGATATTGTCTAAGATAAATGACTCCGGTTTTCCGAAGGGTTTATCTGATTCGAACGTGGATTTACCAGTTCAGCTTGGTCCAAGTCCGTGAGTTCGCCGGTACCTGCAGCTTTTGCCGGAATTGCTCTGGCGCAAGACCCTCCGATGCCCAAGTCAATATCTTGGAGTAGAAGAATAATGTGCAATAAATGTAATAGTAATTGTATTAAATGGGTCTTACCTTCCAACCATAGAATTTACCCTTTATATAGTGATTAGTTGTATGGTCCTTAAATGTCTATCGACCGAGTAGCTAGCACGCAGTGGCTTAAAGGGTCGAGGCTTGACCCTTTGGGCCGGTCGAATCCCTTCATCAATCGATGTTGCCGTTGATGTTCGGCCCCTCAGACCATTTAAGTCTCGGTCGATCCTTAGCCGGTCGACACAGGGTGGACCTTCGAACCATTCGGCTCTCGGTCCTTCATCTGCCTTCAATCGGTCGACCCTTAAGCAGGTCAATATAGGGTCGACCCTTGGGTCATTCTACCCTCGGTCTACCGTATGTCCTTGAACTCGGTCGGTTCGACTTTTGACGCTATTATCCCTATCAAATTCATATTCAAAATCTAACTCAACTTTAATTCAATCTCATATATCCTCAATATTATCAGTGTAACTAAATAATATCAATCAATCATTCTTACACATTAACGGCCCAAATTTTAGCTACCCAAATTTTAGCTAGCCTTTATTTGAAAACTTGTCCCACGTGGGAAACACTAACAAAAACATTCAGCCATTTAAGTGATTTAACAACCACCACATGAATAATTGAATCGCTGGGAGAGTTGGACCGGTATAAGTTTTTCGGTTTTAGGGGTTTTCACTCGATGTTAACAACCTGCATCCAGTTTTGGACCCAAGTGGTTCCATACCTCAAACCGGACCGATATATTGGCAGGTTCCTGGTTGAACCGATCAAAATGGCCAATCTGGTCCGATTTTCAGCGCATTGTTATTTATACAAAAGTTCTATGGAGTCATCGGATACTCCCTTATGAAGTTATCCATAACTTTATGTAGTGACAAACGCCCAATGTGCATTTATTGCAAGACACATGTCAATACATAATAACTATGGATGACTTCATAAGACGAGTAATCCGATGACTCCATAAAAAAACCAATTGTTTTCAAACAATAATATCTCACTGAATATTCCAATGTTACTATTTTTATTGAAATTTTTCAATAAATTACCACAAATATTCTTTGTATTTTGTTGTATGAGTTTAGGACGCGATTAGCCTGTGTTGTCTGAAGATAGGGCATGATTCGCCTAGACTAACATATATCTGGTGTTCACGAGCTTTATAGCACAAATTTGACCGAGAACTAAATTAACACTCACATTTCCCGTCGATAGAAAAATAAACTCAACAATTATTGACAATACGCATCACTCACAACCATCAAACTACAACAACTAGCAAAACCTTCTAACATAGAGGGATAATTTGCATAATTATGCATCAAAACCATCGGAATCCAAAACGGTAAACTAAGTAAACCGAATCTAAGCATCCATAGCCATTTTCCTCTTTCGATCGGGTGTCGAGGAAGCTTGGGCTTGGGCTTGGGCTTGGGCTTGACCAAACACTGACCTGCTTGTCAAAGTGGTTGAGGAGAAAAACAAAACTTGTTAAAGATGTATAAAATCACTCAACCTTGAGCTCCAAAGATCAAGGCATATTATAATAATTTAAAAAAAAAAAAGAACTGAAACGGACCGCATGGAACTCACCCACAAGTTGAGCATTTCTTTTGATGCTTGCAGAAAATAGACAAACAAACCGAGCATATGAAGCCCATATCGATTGTGTTTTTGTGGCAGAAGCATCTGCATAGTCGCACCATAATAAGGTCTTTAGTTTTGATACTCAACTACAATGTTATTTAAAAGATCTCTGCTCATGTTTAACTCTGGAAAAAGGCATAATTGCAAGAAGCACTCATGAGGTTAGACAAGACTGATTATATATTAAGACAAATGGAAAAACTTAATGGAAGAATGGAAGGCAGCTTCGAAATGAGAGACAATACTAAGGCTTCATGATTACAAAGGTAGGCACGGTTATATTGTTCAATAGATCGATGTTTATTTAGGGAAGTATGAGAAGCACCAATACAGAATAGAAAATGGAGATTCTAAACTCAACATTATTGTGAGATTTCATGCACATGTGAGATCAGCTGAAACCTTAAAACCACAAAAACTTTTGCAGAAGTAAAAGATCAATGAAATGAGCTCGGAAGTTCTTAGAAACTTACGAGGCACGAAAGTCAACTCCTGCATGCTTTGGAAGTTGTAAAAAGGCGCGAGAATGCAAATCAGTCGCAAAAACAGTCTGAAGAAGAACAGACACACTTTAGTTCCAGACAGCATAAAAGAGAGAATGAAAATGCAGCATGCATAATTCATGTTGTTAAACTTATACATCGGCGAATAATCTAGTTGTTTTCCATATTCTTGTTAGTTAAACTGGATAACATAAAACATGGAACAGACTTAATATTCAATGCATGAATATTGTTTAATTAAAAGAAAGACACAAATATTGTGGCCTTTTTCTGTTGTTCACAATAAAAATATTGCAGAAACAATTCCCACCGAAAGATACTGAAATAGACCATCCAACACTTGAGGCTTCACATACACGCCGCCAGTTATGTAAGAAGCCTGTACAAAAAAAGATGCCATTGACATCCAAGAGAGATGAAATTCTCAATAACTTACAATTTGAGAAAATTTGGTAAACTAATTAACATTTTATATGCCACCTGCTGCAAGAAAGCGGAATTTTGATGGCCGATTACACATGAATCTATAGGAACCTGGGAAAGGAAAACAATAACTATATGAGCAGATGTACAACCGGAAACAATATAACCGGATGACAAATTTAGCATTTAACAAAAGTCTTTGGTTCCACTTTGTACCGTTGAACGTTGAGCAGAGAAGATTGAATTCATGATTGCAACATATCTGCACAACAAAGTATATCAGCATAATTATTGAACAAGGAAAAAAAAAGTTGGAGGAATTTAAGTGCATAAATCTAAGCTACATACTGTCCAGGCCCATCCGGAGATCCATGTAAGCATAGTATCTGCCAAGTGCACATACATGTTAATTCAGAGATAATTTTTAAAACATAAGAGATTATAATCAATGCAGGAAACAAGAGCAAGAAATTATTTGGAGCAATGAATGATCAGATAGAATAACGTATTCAAATACGATAAGAGCCTTCTTCACTGTTAAGTGTTAAATGCTTTAAAATTGAAAGAATGTATATATATATATATACAACAACAACAACAACATACCCATTATATTCCCAACAGGTTGGGGTCTGGGGGGTCAGTTGTACGCAGACCTTACCCTTGTAATTATACAAGAAGGCTGTTTCCGTAGCGACCCAAGGTATTGCGCCGTTTGATATATATTTTTTTTTCTAGAAACTTCACTAATAGAAGAAGCACTAGAATTTAATTGAGCCATTTTGATCTAGTCCATTATTAGCACTATGCCAGGAGAATTGTCAACAATGACTCTTCCAGCTCCATTTGCAATGTATATATATATATACACATATATATTTTATCCATAACTTCAAGTCTTGTTTCTTTATCAATAACAGGAACACAATAATCAAATAGTTATAATAATTCAATTAGCAAACTGACCCGAGGCTGTGGATGAAGCGGCCCTGACCTAAAAACCCTCTGAATGTCTATTTAGTCATCCCAAGTCAAGTAAAACAATTCTTGCCCAAACAAAAACATGCACTAGAACTACCACTAACGAGGGTGGTGTTAAATTAATTACACATAAACGAAAGACAATACAAAAACGGAAGCATTTTTTTCCTTTTTCCTTTTTCCTTTTTTTTTTTATTTTGTGAGAAGGATACAACATAAGGCCATCGAGAGGGATCCAGATAGAAGTGAGGACCCAGGCCCATCTACCGAGTCCTCAAGGCATATTGACCCATCTTTCTCAACAAATTCATCCAATTTCTGCAGCAAATGCTCAGCACGCAGGTTTTGACTCTGTGTGGCTGATGAATCAAACACATAGTCACAGTAATTGTAACCAGTTGCAATCACAACCACTTGGTTTTGCTGATTCACCAAAAGTATTGAATTCAAGAATGCAAGTACCTGTGGAAAAATACATTATTACTAGTTCAACATTACAAAATTTCAGAAAACAGAGCTTTAACCGAAAACCGAGCCAGAATTAATAGGTCTATACAAAGAAAAGGAAATTACATGGGAGAGGAACTTAGAGAAAGGGAGAGTGGATTTCACCGAGTTCCAAAAGAATGGGTTGGTATCAATAAGTACCATCAAGAGACTCACATCATCTGAGAAATTAAGATGATGNAAATACATGTTATTTGCACATATAATTCTGTGGTGGGTAGAGTGATTCCAGAAAGGTACGCGGAGAATACCTGTATACAGCTTAGTTGAAACTGGAGTCATCTTCCTTTGCTATTTGAAATCAACTAAACCTAGATTATAACTACAACAATAACGACAGTGAAACAAAAAAACAAGTGAGAATGTAGTACCCGTAAAATAAATATAAATAACATACAACCCAGTTAAGTTTCCTATCAAGGTTTTTAAGAGAACAGTTGATTTGAGAAGTCTCAGTTACATCTTCTAGATTATGAACACTATCGATTCTTCAACTATACTCAATCTCTAGGAGCAGAATAACTCCTTCCATCATCAGACGAACACCAACCGCTCAATCCTAGGAAGAAAACTCACTATCTTTATACCTCGCACATAATTTTCTCATTCGCAGTTTGTTTCCAGTTAACAGAAGGTAAAAAGTTAGTTTCATGTTCTTCAATTTTTCAACTTTTTTGACTAGAATTTCCGGCCACAAACTCAATCCAATTAACAGACATATCTACATTAAATACAAATCATTTACACGATTTATTAGCTGAAGAGAAATGAACATTAGGCACACAGAGAAGGGGCTTTTCTTCAAGTGTGCCTGCCAATCTCTGTCAACAGCTGATTTTTCTTTCCACACAAAAATCACATATTCAAACCGCCGGACACAACTAACAAATCCCCAAACCCTCAGACCACTCTCTCAGTTTCAGCTCAACAAAACAAAATGCAACTAAAACCCAAAACTCACCTTCAACTCAAAGCCTCTGNAATAAAAGAATTGAGCCTCTAAAATTTGGGGACCATATAACAATTGAGAAGGCTAAAGAACGGGCCACCCCGTTTTGGTAACATGATATTTTCCTTCTTTTAGAGATGTTATATTTTCAACAAATTTCAGTATCTTCAATTCCATGTGAGCTACTCATCTCATGTGTACCAAAAGTTGGGTTTGAGAAAGAGAAAATGAGGATATTTTTCCGGCTCAGGCATAATTACACATGACAGCCACATCAGCGGTGAGCATATTAAGAAGGCGGCCGCCCACTGGAAAAACTCACGGCTGGTGCTATGCGGGGAAGAAGGGAACTCACCGGCAATGGAGAAATCGCCGGCCATGGCTGAAAAGGGATCGACATCCTCCTCCCTAGTGCGAACAGAGTGCGTCGGTGCTTCTCAATATGAAGGGTTGCGGGATTCGCTGAGAGGAGGGCGATGGCGGGGGATTTTCGGTCTCGGCTGTTAATTGGTGCGTCGCTGACGAGGTCTTCAGCGGGAAATCGAAAACTGGGATTTAAGGGCTTGAGAACGATGGAGTTCTGATCGATATTTTGCGGCGTGAAAACTGTTCTGTGACTGAGAAGAAAAGATTTTGGGGGCGAATTTTACTAGGCTTTGGGCCTAGATTTACTTAATGGGCTAAAATAAATACTAAGGTTCATGGCCGGATTTAAAATGAGGAATTTACATCTCATACTACCAAATTTGTTTTATATTACATATTACATCTAATTAATATTTATTTGCAAAAATACAAAATCACCCAATATATTTGCACATATACCTTCATCCTTATCCAAATAACAACCATATTCCAAACCCTAGGTAATAAATATCGACAGCTATCAACACGCTCCAACATATTCTGAAAATTTTCCAAATAAATTAGATGAATTCATATCATAGATCCAGTTCCAGTGTGCAATATGGACTTCGACTCAAATTTTTTTTCAAGTCAAAATTTTCTCTCTGAAACTTTATCCCCACATCGTTAAAACATTAAACCTTCTTTCCTTTGACTGCGGCTGCACCACTCCACCGACGAGGCTCCGCTTCCTTGGCTCCGGCTGGCACTATGGTTGTTGGGATTTCGGACGGTGTGAAGGCCGGGCTTGGTGGCGGGCTCCGATTGCCGCCCTCGTGGTGGTCGGGGCTTATTTTGCAGCTTGCGCTTTCCCCTGCTCCTGTCTTGTGGTGGGTCTGGACGAATAAGTTTTTCGGCTGGGGTGGCCCTTGGTTCCGGTAGGGTGCTTGATATGGTTGCGCCAGTCCAAGCACAACAAGAAACATGTTATTAATTTTTCATCCCCTCATATTTTATCGTTTCTATGTAATTGGAACTTTGCAATTTTTTATAATTTATATTCAGTATATTTCGGTATATTTTCATCCCCCCTCATATTTTATCGTTTTTGTATCGTTCCCACTGTTATATGTATGGTTTATATTCAGTATATTTTCGGTATATGTATGATTTATATTTAGTAAAATCATGAAAAATATATACAATACATATACCATCATTACGGTTTCTGTTGTAAGTATATATATACTGACACTATATTTTATATATTCATTAAATATACTATGATTATGTTTTTTATTTACTAAAATCATTGAAATATATACAACATACACCAACATTTTTTATGGTATATTTTATGTATATATATTAAATATATAGCCCAACATTACGACTTGTATTTTTAAGTATATATACCAGACAAATCCCGGTGTAAACATATATCTTACAACCGTTCTTGGTGGAAAAAATATATCTCATCATGTTTNTATTTTTATGGAAACAGCGGAAATCATGTGAACGAAAAGTGGATGGAGTCCACTTTTTAGGTAACTGAATTTTAGGCATAAATATAGTTAAATCTTGAGAATTAGGTAGAGACACAATTATTTGTTTATTGATGGTAGATTTGTAAAATTTTCAATTTCATGTAGGATAAGTAAAAATTTCCCATTTAAAATACTAAAGGGCCGAAAAGTAAAAGCTCTTTCAACTAGAATAATAATTCTAAGATGGGTCTCGATAAATTCTAGGAATCGAGAATAAAAGAAATTGACGGTACCGAAATCGGATTTAAAACGACTTCAACGACTATTAACTGAATAAACCGAATAAAATTGGATAGCTAACGAATATTCGATAATTTAATATATTAAATAGACACTATCGTCTAAATAAAATATTTCTCTTAACAACTTAAATAGACACTAACGTCTAATTAATCTCCGAAGAGCTTGTCGAGTATAGAAAATTAGAAAGCAAATAAATGCATAATAAAATAAATAATCCGGAAAAATCTATAATTCAAATGAGGCACTACAGAAGTAGGACTGAAGAGGTAGAGAGAGAAAGAGAAAACAAGATTGAAGGATTATGGAGTTGCCCATGAGAGCAAGAAATAGAAAATGGAGATCAATAGAATGGAGGAAGCTAAGTTTTAAATGAATTTTGTGAGTGGAATTATAGAAGATTGAAAGGACTCTTTACACTTCTCCAC